GTGGGCGGGAGCATCATGGCCGCCAGAAAGCAGGGGCTGGATAGTTGGGGCAAATTGCTATTAGCAGTCTTGCTGCTGGGTTGGCTCAGAGCTACAATTTGCGAGTGGTGAGATTATTGTCTTTCTCAACACAATGGGGCTGATGTTTACCTCTCGACCCAAAACTTCAAGAATTGCTTCATTAGTCCCTGGTTATTAAGTGACTGACTCAGAGTGATTCTCGCGAGTGACTACGGCGAGTGACTATGGTGAGTGACTCTTCGGCGGTGATGCCTAAATCAGCCAAAGTGTAAATAGTGCGCGCCAGACCACTAGGTCCCAATGTTCCGATCAAGATACAAGCTGTTAAATGAAAAGGTGGTATATTAGTCATAAACTCTATAAAATCGTAAAACTGGTATAATTCTGAACCGGAGACCTGCTCTGCTAGCCCGAGAAAATGAGTGGGATGTAGAAATCTAAAAGTGGAAGTCAAACGAGGTGTCGAGACCTTCGAACTGGTCGTTGAGCACCATAAAGTCATCCAACTCGTACGAAGTGGGCTGCAGAGGCACCGCCGGCACCAGGCACACCCGGCGCGGGCCCACGGGCTTCAGCACCCGCGGTTGCGGCGCCAGCTGGCGGCGGTGCTGCTGTTGCTGCTTGAGCTGTTCTTGCAACATCTGGATCTGTTGGTATTGCGCCATCATCGTTTGTTGCGCGTCCAACAATTGCTGGTAGGTGTCCTGGGGCTGTTGTTCCCATTGGATGCCCAACCCCATCAAGTCGTCGCCGGTGGTCAGCGCCTGCGACACCGGCAGCAGCGACTGGAATTCGTAGCCGAGGGAGAAGAGCGACTCTTCGTCCAGCGACGGCTGCTGTTGCACCCCGAGGTCGTAGTTGAGGGTGGGGTGGTGGTAGTCCAAAGGCGACACCATGGGGGCGACGTCGACTTGAGGGGTGGCGAGTTGCGCTTCGGCGACGGCGGGCTGAGGCGCGGCTTTGGGGGCGGCGGCGGCAGCAGCGCTCTTGATCGGCGACAAGTCGACAAAGACAAAGTCCTTAGGCTTGCCCGGTCTGTTCTTGGGTCTGCGCCCAGGGGGGCGCTTGACGGTGAACTTGGCGCCGGCGGCCAGGATCTTCAACGAGTTGTTCAAGCACTCCGCCGAGCGGTCCTGAGTCTCCAGCGCCTGGCGCTTCACGCGCCACAACTTCTTGCCGTTAGCAGGAGGCAACACTTGGTTCTTGGCCAACACTTGAGTAGTCATTGTTGTTTGTGTAGTAGTTGTTTGGTTGGTGAGGAGAAGAGATCGAAAGCGAAACTGGTGGATTATATATGGGTCTGGCGATGGACGCTCGAGGTGATGGCCGCAAAAAAATATTATTTCGCCCGTCGACGCTTATTTTTTGGCTGAGCGTCCCCGCTAAGTGTGTGGAAGAGCAATGCATGCACCACCTGCACTCCCCATATATGCCGGTGGCCTAATGAGGCAGGCCTGAGGGCGATACTAATAACAGCCTTACCCCACTCCGGGACGATCTCGGGTGAAGATATTGCCATCAATTCATCCAGTTGAAAAAAAAAATCTATTAGTGACAGTGGTGTAGGGGGCGAGGATCGGGAACCGTGTGAGCAAGGGGCAGGAGAAAGGGGGGCCGATTAAACTATGTTTTCCTAGTTAGGCACTGTGGTAGGGGCCCTGGTCGCAATGGGGGGTAATCACTAGTGGCGGCCATAATATCCCTTCCTAATTAGGAAGTTTTAGTTTATTTTACATTATTTTCTCGGAATGCCGAAAATAATTTTTTATGGTGCAGCCCTGGGGAAAGAGGATTATAGTCCCCGATGTATTTTTAGCGCCCTGGTAAATCCGTCGATTGCAGATGTAGGCCTATTCGATCATAACAGAAATAACCTCACCGTCAATGCCAATTAACCTCGCAAAAAAATAACCGAAAATTATCGATTGGATGGTCTGTCGATTTTTGTAGTTGCCTCGAATTATCGTTTATTTGCTCATCAGCAATTTGCGGGCTGGGCCCAGTTTCGGTGGTAAATACGACGGTAAAGAATCTCACTTTCGTAAGGCTCTACCAGAATAACGGTACCATGGGAAAAAATAATTTCCTCCTCTTTTTTTTTTTTTACATGACAATTTCTATTCAAAACCCCAGGGCTACATAACCAGTGGAGAGCCCGTTACTCACCTCAAAATGAGGGGCACTCACAAGCCCCTACCCCATGTCTTATCGTGGGGTATGCACGGAGATACCGACGTCATAGCCTCTGCCGGCTAGGTCACCAATCACGACCCGAGAAGATATTTTACAGTTCTCTTAGTGGTGACCGTGGGCGAGCGCACGGAAATCGGGCGCCATCAGCGCCATTAGCACTGGTAGCGCTGGTAGCGATGGTAGCGATGGGGGGTACCCCTCATCAAGGGGCCTCGGTTCGAGCGCTAACGTCAATGCCTCTCAGCGAGAGACTGCGGCGGAGGCCGAGTGAGGTCACCCCGGCGCCGACGCCCCATATAATGCGCCTGCGCTCGGCGCCCCCGCGAGGCGGGCGCTCGAGATAGGCAGCTGCTCCCCGAATAGGCCGGCGTTCCCCTATCCGTCGAAAGGGGCCACCTGAGGGCAGCGGCCGATGGCGTCATGGCCACTACCCAGGCGTGCCTACCCCGGGTTTCGATCGGGGGCGGCATGGGGGGCCTCCGGGGGAGGCGTTCCACTAGAAGGCCGGGCGTGACCCAGCGAACGCCGACGCCGGCGCTGGTGGGGGGCCGCGCTAGCAAGGGCGCCTTAAGGTGGAAGGGCGAGCGCCTCAGCGCCGTCAGCGCTCGGTGGTGTGACAC